CCGACGATCGGCCTCCGCGAGGGGCCCGCGGCGGACGCGAAGCCGCTCCACGAAATCGAAAGCGAGGCCGAAAGCGACGACCCGGGGGAGACCGCGAGCGAAGAGGACAAAGTGATCTACTTTGACGCCGCCGCCGGGACGATGATGGCGGGGGCCGTCAAGCGCGCGATGCGGCGGGCCCCGGAAGGGAACCCGACGAGCCTGCACGAGACCGGCCGGGCGGCGCGGATGGCGATGGAGAAGGTCCGCGTGGCGCTCGCCGAAGCAATGGGCCTCCCGGCGAATGAAATCATCTTCACCGGCGGCGGGACGGAGTCGAATAACATCGCCCTCCAGGGCTATCGCGTTCTGCGCGAGGAGTGGTCGCACTCCTCGACCAAAGGCCCGCAGAGGATGGACGACGCAATCGAAAAGAAGAACGGCGACGAGGAGACTGTCGTGCGGGTGGTGGATTTGGTAAATCACGAAACCGGCTCCATCTCGCGGGAGTTTAAACGCCCACCGAATGGGCGACTTCACGTGGACGCCTCGCAGGCCTTTCTCAAAATCGATTTCCGCTCGCTTGACCTCTCGGAGGTCGACTCGATGACCGTGACCGCGCACAAAATCAACGGCCCGATCGGGATCGCCGCGCTGTATTTGCGGGGGTTGAAATGCCATAAACTCTACAGCGGGGGCTCGCAGGAAAAGGGAATTCGCCCCGGGACGGAAAACCTCCCTGCGATTATTGGTTTCGGCGCCGCGCTAAAGCTCGATCGAAGTCATTCCCAACATCGTGAAATTGAGGCGTTTGTCGGGAAGGAATTGGAGGCTCTCGGGTGCGAACTAAACCGGCGGGGGGAGACGAGCGGGTTTATCGTCCACGCGACCCTTCCAGCGGGGTATGATAATACTGAGGTGGTTTCTCTGCTTTCGACGAAATATCGCGTGGAAATAGGGACCGGGTCGGCGTGTAATTCGGGCGTCTTGAATACCACCGTCTATGACACACTGGGGAAGCTGCCGGAGCCTCGGCGGTCGATCCGATTAAGCTGGGATTGCTATAATACAATGGAAGAGGCGGAGCGCGTGATGGGAGCCTTCAGCAAGGTTCTCGCAGAGAAGAAACCCCACCGGTGAAGAAGTAGATGACGATTCTTATTGCTTTTTTCGATTGGTGTGCTCTTTTGTTATTGCTTAAATACATAAATATAGTTAATATTATATATATTAAGTGATGAGGTCATTGTTTTTGGAAGGTTGAAAAGACCTCTTCGGGTTTTGCTAGGAAACGTTATGAAAAAATATGTGTTTCAATTTCGATGTTACTTTGAACATCTAAATATTAAGAAAAAAAAGGTGTTTTGCTTACAATTATGAAAACCTTTGTTTGTGAACTGTTGAAGATCATATTTCAATGGTTATCTTTTTCTAAGTACATTTTTAAACATGTGGTAACAAATGTTTTACTAGATTTTTCACGTAACCTGGGTGATATTTCCCTTCTATTTTTCGTTATTGGACCTGAGCTCAATCGGCTAGGTAGCATGTCCTTAGCATTCCGACCCTTAAATTTATCTATTTTTGGAGCTGTCGACTTATGAGTAAAAGGCAACTTCCAAGGATGCCTAATTTATTTTTTAAGAAACATTAATATTTACAAAATTATTCAAACTATTCGTATGTTTTCTTTTTTATATGTTTTCATGCATTTTATTAAGACAAAGGGAAGGTGGACCATTAACTCTTTATTTATTTTTTTTCTTCCCCTAAGCGGCAATTAGAATACCACAGTAAAGGAAAAGGGAATAGTTTTACGACAAAGTCGACGAATGTTTTTCAAATGGTAAAGCCGATCGCTTTTCGGGGCATCGATGAGCTTTGCAAAAAACTCATAGCATGTAAATCCAATAACGCTCTAGTTGGTAAAGTTATTGGGGATGGGATTCGGAAGCGTGTGGTGGATGCCGATTCCCTTCCTCTCATTATGCAAAGGCTTTCCACTACTCACTCGGAGTGGGCGTTGGCGCTCGAGGTATTAGCGAGCGACCGGCTAGATCAACATGGGATCAGGCGGGATGATAATATCTGGAAAATAATAGAATCAGGCGTCCCGAAGGGAGGGGAAAGTGAAGCTTCGGTGATTGCATCGCTTCGGAAGATTTACGGAAAGAAAGTTGCGTCTCTGAAACGCTCTGACAAGGTAAAATAATTGGTTATCTTTGCGGTTGTCTTGCGTTAAAGGATAAGTTATAATCTAGGAATTCTGGAAATGAGATGATATGATTGATGAAAAATTGAAAGAAGATAATGTGAATTGTATTTAAAAGCATCTTATCTTCATTAAATGAAGCACATCAGATCATATTAACTTTTTTTTTTCATGTCCACCCTTTAGAAGGGTCTGGATACGTTACCCTTGCATTTTCCTCCCCATGAGTATCCCCGTCCTCCAATCCAATCTCGTTTCCCTATCTCTTTTTTGGTCCACTCCCAGATGAGTGAACTGACAACCTAAGCAGTAAAACACCGCGCGCTCACGTTACCCGCGTCCTCATAGAACCACACCCCTATCTCTTTTCTATACCCATACACCCATCCATAGAAGAATCTTCAACCCCCCCCCCCCTTCTTTCTTTGTAACCCCCAAATGGCGGAGACGGTGTCCGCGCCGGGGCACCCGACGCGGTGGGGCCTGATC